GCCCATTTTGAATGATGACCCTGTCCTCCAAACCAGCTGCAACCCCTCCCAGCTTGGTATCATTCACAAGCTTAAAAGCTTCCTCTCTATGCCGTCATCTAAACTGTTGATGAAGATACTGAACAGAACTGGTCCCAAAACTGACCCCTGTGGAACCCCATGTCCAGCATGACTGGGATCCATTGATAACTCTCTGGGAAGCCCATTTTGAATGATGACCCTGTCCTCCAAACCAGCTGCAACCCCTCCCAGCTTGGTATCATTCACAAGCTTAAAAGCTTCCTCTCTATGCCGTCATCTAAACTGTTGATGAAGATACTGAACAGAACTGGTCCCAAAACTGACCCCTGTGGAACCCCATGTCCAGCATGACTGGGATCCATTGATAACTCTCTGGGAACGGTTCTCCAGCCGGTTACGCACCCACCCTACAGTAGCCCCATCTAGGTTGTATTTCCCTCGTTTATTGGTAAGGTCATGCGAGACTGTCAAACCCCTTACTAAAGTCTAGCAATAAGCTACCTTGGCAGGTGGGGAGCAAGGGGAAGTGGGGGTGGGCTTCCTTCCCCCTCCCCTTTTGCCTTCCCCTCAGCCCTTCGGGGGCTGCTTTCCCCACTTCTGGCCCCTGCCCCCCCAGTGCCAAGCCGCCTGGGACCTGCAGAGGGGGAAAAGGGCAGTGTGCCCCCGCTAAACACCTGCCACCCCACTGGAAGGGGGCTCCCTGTCCCAGAGCGCCCCCTTGTGTTGCAGCCGGGGCTCACCTTGCTGCAGCGCCCCCTTGTGGCGGTGTCACGTCCTGCTCATGCCTCCAGATTCACGCCCCTTGTGGGGCATCAGCAGTGCCCTTTAGTAGCCCTAAACTCGGGCCGTGGAACAGTCGGACGCCTTCAACTGGGGCCTCTGCCCGACAGTCAGACACAAAACAGTACCCCTGCCCCCATGGGGTTAGCAGCTCTCTCCCCTCCCAGGCCCTCTCTGGCCACGATTTGCCTGGAGGCTTTGAACTCCGCTTGGAGGAGGGCCCCAGGCCTCCCTCTCCTGCACCTCTCCCTAAGCCCAAATAGGGTCCTACCTGGGCCGCCTTGCTCCCTCTCTGCCCCAGAGGCCTGCAGAGGTTCTCTCCCCTCTCTGAAGCCGGCTCCCCCCCTTTATGAGAACAGCCCAGCTTAGAACATCCCTTTCCTGGGGCCCCTCGAGCTCCCGGCAGCTTGTCACTGAACACCCCCTTTCCAGACCATCCCTGCCCCCATCTGCTCCAGCCTCCATTCCCCTGTAATGCTTGTCGTTCGCTCCTCTTTCCCATGCTCCCCCGGCAGCAGCCCGGCAGCCCCAACCAGGGGGGCACCTTAACTTCAGAGCAGTCCAAGCATAGGACCGGCTGCCAGGAGATCCTGAGTTCTGCTCCTGGACCAGACCCCCTCTCTAGCCTTGAGCAAGTCATGCCACGCCTGCCTCAGTTTCCCCATCTCTAAGCCAGGATTAGCGCTCCCCCCTGCCCCTAGCCGCGTGGGGAGGCCAGTGGTTACTGGGGTGCAGAGCTGTGGGGGTGGAACGCATTAGGGACGAATCACTATTTGTACACCTACTCCCCTACTCCCAGCCGTGGTGTGCTGCTGCCGAGATCCACCCCAGATCCTGCCTGGAAACCTGCCATCAAGGCCCACGTCTTGCTGAACGGGCGTCTAGACGAAGGCGAGCAGGAGTGGGTGGGGAGGCCAGTGGTTACTGGGGTGCAGAGCTGTGGGGGTGGAACGCATTAGGGACGAATCACTATTTGTACACCTACTCCCCTACTCCCAGCCGTGGTGTGCTGCTGCCGAGATCCACCCCAGATCCTGCCTGGAAACCTGCCATCAAGGCCCACGTCTTGCTGAACGGGCGTCTAGACGAAGGCGAGCAGGAGTGGGCTTCCGAACGACGGTGGGACTGGAACGTACCCCTTGCGCGGCTAGCGACAGCAGCCCCAGAGGGTCTCCGGCAGGGTTCACTTCAGAAGCTGCGGTATCAGACTTCCCCAGGTTCGCCTCTTGAAATGCAGCCAGGTCTGGGGTGGAACGCAGCACGCAGGGAACGAATCGGTGTGGTCAGGCCCCCCTGGAGGCTGGCTTCATCGGACTTTCCTGCCTCCTCCCTCGCAGCGCCGGGGGCAGGAATGACTCACCGCCTGGGGAGGGCGGGCCGACAGCCAGAGACGGACAGGCCCAGCGAGCGCCATACAAGTGGTTTATTGGCCTTGTAACAGACTCCTCCAAAGAGACCCCTCCCCAGGCCTGGCTCGGGAACTTCACCCATCGGGGGTGAAAACTAAAATCAATCACGCCGGGGAACATGCCACTGCCCCAGGGCACAGAGCCCACTTAAC